AGTCCGGGTGACCGAGTGAGACTCCAACTCAAAAAAAAAAGAAAGGGAAAAAGGCCAGGTTCAGTGGCTCAGCCTGTAATCGCAGCCCTTTGGCAGGCTGAGACGAGTATACTACCTGAGACCATGGGTTCGAGACCCGCCCAGGCAACTTGGCGAGGTCTCGTCTCTACAATAAATAAAAACTTAGCAGGGCATGGTAGCACGCGCCTATAGTTCCGGCTACTTGGAAGGCTGAGGCGGGAGGATCGCCTGAGCCCAGCAGGTTGAGGTTGTGGTGGCCGGGAGTGTGCCACTGCCCTCCAGCCTGGGTGACAGAGTGAGACTGCAACTCAAAAAAAAAAAAAGGACCTCTACATACAAATGAGTTCTGTTCTGACAGTGCATTTTTAAGTACAATTTGTTCATATGTCCAACACAGTTAGCCCAGGTACCCAACTAACAACTGGGTATACTGTACCAGCTACATCACTGTTGCTTTTACACAAGCTTCTGGACATCCTAGGCTTGAAATATATATTTTCCTACTGTACCCTATACAGTACTGTAAAGTACACAAATGTACAACTCCTTGTAGAGGATGCATGCAAATGACAATGTGTGCCAGATACATGAACTAACTTAACGTGATCAGACATGCAAAAAGGTTTAAATCTTTCAAAGTTCGTAACTTGAAAGTTTGTATGTAGGGGACTAACTGTACATATATTTTTAGAAACAGGCTCTTACGCTGTTGCACAGGCTGGAGTACTGTGGTGTGATCACAGCTCACTGCTGCCTCAAATTCCTGGGCACATAAGATTCACCTGCTCAAACTCTAGAGAAGTTAGAACTACGAGCATGTACCACCACAACAGGCTAATTTTTAAAAGTGTATTTTGTAGAGATAGGGTCTCATTACATTCCCAGGCTGGTGTCAAACTCCTGGCCTCAAGGCATCCTCCTGTCTTAACCTCCTAAAGCCCTGGGATTATTGGTGTGAGCCACCAAGCCCGGTCAATTTTATTTTCAAGACTGCAAAATATTCAAACATATACATAACTATGCTTAAAAATGGCAGAAATCTCCCAAAATGTTGGTTATTTTCAATTGGTGGTAACTTTGGGTAATTTTCAAAAAATAGCTATTATTTTTATAATCAAAGAAAAAAAATGGGCTGGGTATGGCAGTTCATGCCTGTAATACTAACACTTTGGGAGGCCAAGGCAGGAGGACTGCTTGAGCCCAGGAGTTTGAGATCAGATTTTGTCTTCATAAAAAATAAAAATGGCTAGGCACAGTGGCTCAAGCCTGTAATCCCAGCACTTTTGGGAGGCTGAGGTGTGAGGACTGCCTGAGCCCACGTGTTTGAGATCAGCCCAGTGAACTTGGCGAGACCTTGTCTCTACAATAAATCAAAAAATTAGCAGGATGTGGGAGAGCTTGCCTATAGTTCTGGCTACTTGGAAGGTTGAAGTGGAAGGGTCACCTGAGGCCAGCAGGTCGACCCTGGGGTGGTTGTGAGTGTGCCACTGCACTCCAATCTGGGTGACAGTGAGACTCTGACTCACAAAAAAAAAAATTAAAATACAATAAAATAATAAAAAATTAGCCAGGTATGGTAGTGTAGTCCCAGCTACTCGAGAGGCTGAGGTAGAAGAACTACCTGAGCACAGGATAGTCAAGGCTGCAAAAAGCTGTGACTGTGCCACTGCACTCCAGCCTAGGTGAAAGAGTGAGACTCAGACAAAAAAATGTCTTATGACAAATAATATGCAAAATTATAAGTTACACTGTATCAAAAGTACCTAGGAGAAGCATAAGGAAAAATGAAATCTAAACAAAGATCTCACATAAAAAACAAATGAATATCCCCTTATAGGCAAACAAGAGTATCTAAGCCACATATTGAGTTACATCAACCTATTTACTCTACACTTTTGAGAACAAGAACGTTTTAAGTTGATAAGAGAAAAACAGAAGTACAGGTTTAGTCTCATTAATTTTATTTCCCAAGGCTGTAGAATTCCTTCTGCCAATGCCACTGCTGCACCACTAGTTATCAAGTGTATTAGTACCCAGGTATCACTGTTATACCAATGGAATCAGAAAATATTCACTAACTTGGCCAGGTGCAGTGGCTCAAGCCTATAATCCCTGCGTTTTGGGAGCCCAAGGTGAGAGGACTGCCTGAGCCTATGGGTTCGAGACCAGTCTGAGCAACTTGGCGAGACTTCATCTCTACAATAAAACAAAAATTTAGCCACGCATGGTGGCGTGTGTCTGTAGTTTCAGCTACTTGGAGGGCTGAGGTAGAAGGATTGCCTAAGCCCAGCACGTTGAGGCTGCAGTGGCAGGGAGCATGCCACTGTCCTCCAGCTGGGTGACAAAGTGAGACTTCAACTCAAAAAAAAAAGATCCGTTAACTCTCTTGGATGTATTTTTTTTAAGTTGGTGTCTCACTCTGTCACCCAGGTCTGAGTACAGTGGCACACTCAGCCACTACAGCCTTGGGCTCAGGTGATCCTTCTGCCTCAGACTTCCAAGTAGCTGGAACCACAGGCGTATGCCACCAAGCCCAGATACATTTTTTTTTAAATATTGTGGAGACCAGGTCTCACTATGTTGCTCAGGCTGAACTAAAACCCCTGGGCCCAGGCAATCCTCTCACCTCAGTCTCCCAAAGTACTGGGATTACAGGCTTGAGCCACCATGCCCGGCTGGATAGTCTTTATAAAAGGTAATATATGAATACATGCTCACTCTAAAAAATAAACAGAAACACAGGAAATATATGCTATCAACCCTGTCCATTCCCATTTTCTCCCTCATATATAACCAATTTTTTAAAATGTGACTTATTTTTTGAGTTGGTGTCTCTCACTCTGTCGGCCAGGCTGGAGTGCTGTGGCACACTCACGGCCACTGCAGCCTCGACCTGCTGGGCTCAGGCAATCGTTCTGCCTCAGTCTTTCAAGTAGCTGGAACTACAGGCACACGCTACCATGCCTAGCTAATTTTTTGATTTATTGTAGAGATGAGGTCTCGCCAAGTTGCCTAGGCTGGTCTCAAAGTCACAGGCTCTGGCAATCCTCTCACCTCTGCCTCCCAAAGTGCTGGGATTATAGGC